CTACACATAACGCTCATTCTGTGCCGAAGGCGCAAACCATTTAACGTGTTTAGTCACTCCCACAATTGTAACGGGACGTTTAAAACGCTGGCAGACATACATGCGCCTGGAGTCCCAAACCATTCGTCCAATACTTTTACGTGCCACCCAGATCATTCCTCCGACAGGAATTAAAATCAACGTTATTTCGCATTGGTTAAATGTACTCGTAACACAGCGGGTTCGTTCCACCACCTCACCGCAGAACGCAACAGCGATTAACAGGACCCCTCTCTCTTTCTCCATCCCGTACTTGGTACTCACCAAGAGAGAGGGCCTCGGTCCAGGGCTGCACCGTGCCGTATGCGTGCACCTCAGCCAACTTGCGCGGGTCGGCCACGTGGACCCGGCCCAGCCGAGGCTTGACCCAGGTCACCGGCTCCGGGGCCAGTGGCGGCGTCAACAGATACAACGGCGGCGAAGGTGACGCCGGCAGCGGCAGCAGCGGCAGCGTCTGCTGCTGCGGCGGCGGCACAGACGGCAGCGACGTCTGCGGCGGCGGGTGCGCCAGCAGCAACGGCATCGACGTCGGCAGCAGCGGCGCGGACGGCAGCATCGGCGGCAGCAGCGGCGCTGACGGTGGGGCGCCGTCCGGGTACACGCTGCGCGGTGGCGCCAAATCAGCATGCCGAACGCCTCGGCACCAGTCACCGCCATCCGACAAGTCCAAATGCCTGGTTGCTTTTCCAGATTTTGTGATGCTGGGAGACTTTCTCTAAAAGTCAACCCGACAGCACGGATAGTTTTGCTCTCAAACGTACTCCACCGCAAGTTCTGATGAACTTCACCGTTTGTTTGAGGTCATTACCAGCGAGCAGTAACAGCTGAACCCATCCATTCACAGCTACTGGACGCCAGCGTGACATCGCGCCCACGCTGAATCGAATCTACGCACATCAAGAAGTGTCATGTGAGCTGTGCGCACGTGGAAGATGCTGGCGTATAACATCTCGTCGCATTGAGTTGGTGCCCAGGTATTTTCTGGGGATGCGTTGATGATGATGATGCTGCTGATGATGATAATGATAACGATGATGATGATTTGGGTTTTGGGGCGCACAGACTACGTTGGTCATATGGCGCCTCTGGGAATGCGTTGAGTTGAGGTCGTTTACGTAATAAATTTGGGTGTTTTAAAGCAGCATGCATATTTTGTAATTTAACGTATCTATTGAAAGCTTCTCTGGAAATGCACGCATACGCAGACATGCACCTCCTATACGTCTGGTGAATTGGTGAATAATCCTACACCCTGTTCTAGCAGTCTGCGGTCCAGGAACTAAAGCTCTGACCTTGAGACGTAGCCATGCGGCCCCGCCATGTACACGGTGCTGTAGTACTGCGGCAGACGGACGTGTCCATGTGAGATCGAGACCATGCCCGGTCCTACGGTGACAACGAAAGCGGCGTTCGTCATCTGAAAGAGCGCGCCGTCAGAGGCGCGAACCAGTACAGGACGCGGGCCGGACACCGTCCGCAGCATCGGGAACACGGGCGAGGACCGACGTTACCTACAGTTTAACACAGACATAGCAAGACAGACGAATGCCACAGGTGCTTCGTCAATACAAAGGGACGCCTCACAAATCACAATCAAATCACAATTAAAGACGGCCGAAGCTGACGCCAGGTCTCCGACGGTTCCCTCAACTAGCGTCAGCACGCACATCAACACGTTAGAGCGGGGATCAGGCGATCCATATCTCGGTCTTGAGTCGCGGGGAGCAGGCATCCGGTGCCGTGAACACCGGCCCCGGACTGAGCCGCTACACAGGCGCTGTATGGCCGCGCTGGCCACGGCGGCCGGAACACCAATTACAACTGCTGTAACACAGACGCAGCCGGCACCAGTCCGCGGTTACTGCAACGATCCGACTCAGAAGTGACTACTAGCCCCCGTCAAGCTGCCAAGCCTTAGAACTCTTAACATATCAAGTGGCTACCCTGTAACCCTTGAGAATTCACTCACCCTCGCCCGTCTCCGCCTCCAAAAGTCGGTGAACGAACAGCGAATGGTTGCCAAGCCAAGTGGCGGAAGCGAGGAAAGCCCACGTGGCGCGCTCGCGCAACAATGCCTGAATGACTTGTCTTCCTTGCCTGTCCTCCGTTTACGGCGATGCCGTAGGCGTGCAAATCACGCAATCTACTCAACGAGCCCGGGGAAGCCATCGGCTTGTGCAGCTCGTCACGCTATTCACATACTCATTTAACACATTTTTCAATTTTTTCAATGATGTAACTAGCACGAGGTTTTCAGAGTGGCTTACCTTAAATTACGAGCATGATCTCACAATACCCCGAGCAGAGCTGTCAATAACTTGGCATATCAGGCACAAGAACACGTGGTCACAGCTCACGCTGCCAGCGTTGGGCCCTTTCCCGAGCCAACGTCGATCGCAAATTCAGATGCCATTTGCGGTTCAGGTGGCCAGCCCACGCCCAAAGTCGGGGGCCTAATCCCTCCCCTCCTCTCCCTATGGCCGTGTGTACGCACACTACAAAACGGACGGCGGTTACGCCACTCCATTTTGGAGAGGGGTTACGCACTGAGCTTCCAAAATGAGGCTGGAAACGTAGAAGACCGACACACCCTCGAAAAATTAAAAATCCTGGATATCCTATAGGCCCCGACTCATTAGCGATGAAGCCAGGTCTCCAAATGGTCTTCTGTGATCGCCAGAACGCCGCCAGTGATGCCCACCCAGCCACGCAGAGCAAGCGTCTAGTTTCGTCGTTAGGGTGCCTTACTGCGCGTCTTCCTTGCCTGTCCTCTTGCTTGCCTGTGCCTTTGTGCCTTGCCTTGCTCACGGACAACACGAAGACAGACAACACGATTCGATTCGATTCCAACATCGATGCCTCATAGTAATTTGCTGGTGTCCACTTAGACCAAACACCTTCACGGTGTATTTTCTCTCCATGTATAACTGGTAGAACGCATGCAACACCACAAAACGTTTTGCTTGAAACAGCGGTACATTTCGCAGTGATTTGCTGGCGCCGGAAAGAGCACGTAGTCACTGTCCACACGTTCCCATGGGAGAAAAGGCTTGGAAATGATGCTGTCATCATGCATTGTTGCAGAATATTCGTTGGTGGTACGTTGCTGCCTCAGTCTACTGATGCCTTATCTAATTTTATCGTCATCACATGCGCACCAGCGGCTTACGCTGCTGACACAGCAGAGAGCATCCTTGCATGTGCATAAGCTAGCATTAGTGGTGGCTTGGCTGGGTATTCGGGAACATGTGAGATATCACAAAGCGTGGGCATTACCATGTCGGCTCTGAGATTGCGTGGACAAATCGGGATGGGGAGGGGGTCAAACAGGAATCTGTCGGTGGGTACGCTGACATGAGCACAACATTTTAAATGAAAAATATAAAAAGCGCGTAGCCCACGGAGAACATCGGAAGCGGAAAAAACCCACGTGTGGAAATTGGACAGACATGACCACAGCTTTGCAGTGTTACACCCGTGTCAAATAGACAAAGACGCATTGCACTTCTGTCATCCGTTGCGCGGCGAAGACAGGCAACACGATCGAAACATTGGCAGGGCGTGTGCTGCAATCTACGATACGTTCCGTCTGATTAGATTCGCTGGCCATAATAAAAAAATGATCGCCAAGCTTTAGATGAAATATGTAAGCATCAATTATCTCAAAGTTTTTCGAATTTTTCGGGAAAATATTTTTGGCTGAAATCCTTGGTGTCCTACGAACCACGATGTTAGAAAGCCAACTGTGCACGACAGTGCAATTCACAAGTGTATTTGTTTAATGTGTTTTCTGTCGTGTCGTGGATTCGGCCTTGCAGATGTCGGCTCCGGGTGGCGCGCTGGTGAGCCCGAGTTTCAGATCTGAGCCCAGAGATGGCGCAGCTGTCTGTGTTTGGTCTCAGCGGCGCGGGCGCCGATGACCGGGGAGCTTGAGTGGGAGTCTCGCGGGGCTCGCGGGAGCGGGAGCGCGCGGGGCGTGGCCGAGATCACGACAGAATACCTGGCGACGAGAAAAGGTTCCACGCATCGTCCCGTGTCGGCAAGGAAGCAAGGCGGCGGCGGCCGATGCCCGGAGTTGGCTGAGTCTCGGCACAGGAGGGAGGTCAAGTTGGACTCCTGGCCCTGGGAGGCAGTGACTGGAGGACCTGCAGTGACGGGACTGGCTGGTGTGCGAGGCGCGGACGGTGAGCCGGCGGGGCGGCGCCCGGGACAGTGCCGAGTGAGGGGCTGAGACTGAGGCGGGCCGTGACTTGGGGGGGGCCATGATCGCTGCTGTGGCCAGTGAACGCTTTGGCGGTGCAGTGGGTGTATGGTTTTTTCTGCGTGGTTTCGTGCGCTGGCCGGCCGGCGGACTCGCTGGGGACTCGACGTCGAACGGCGGCCAGGGGCGGACGGGCCACGTGGGGCCAGGGAAAGGCGGCCATCCTGGGTCGGCGGGTGCGGGGCTGTTGCGCGTGCGCTCCACCAGGTGGCGCGCGGATCGCCGGCTCGGCCAATCGGATCGCTGGGCGGGGCGCTGCACCAGGAGACGCACGGGTCGTCAGACCGACCAATGACAGCGCCGGGCGGCGAGCTGGCAGCCGCGGCCAGCTGATCAGACCAGCTGAGTGAGCGCGGCGAGCGGCGCACTCGGCGCAGAACGTAAACAATCACTGAGTGGGCGATTGGGCCAGAATGGCGGGGCTGAGTCTGCCCTCCCTGGTGCGGTTCCAGGCCGGCAGTGACTGACAGCTGAATGAGGGGTATTGGAGTGTACCTCTCTGCTCGGGATTTCGGAGGAGGGAAGGAAGACAGCGGTGCTTTTACATCTGCTTGGCCTTGAGTTCCAAGCTGTGTACGAGAAGCTGCCGGCACCGTGTGCTGTGCCAGGGGCGTTTGATACCTGTGTGGCGAAACTCAAGGCGCGCCTGACTTGGGGGCGGAGCGTCGTCGCCGACCGCCTCGCCTTCCAGCGGCTGCGGATGGGGTCGGAGGAGGGCTTCGATCAGTTCCTGGGCCAGCTGAGGCAGGCGGCGGCCCGGTGCCAGTTCGGCCAGCTGGACGACGCGCTCCGTGATCAGCTGATCGCTGGCTGTGCTCCTCGGCTACAGGAGCGGGTCCCGCAGCGGGCGGCGGAGCCTGATGCTGAAGGCCTGACGCTCCAGCATGTCGTCACCATAGAGCACGGACCTGACGGTGCGTTATGGGCCACCATAGCGGAAGGCCTGACGCTCCAGGATGTCATCACCATAGCGCACGCCGCGGAGCGCACGGACCGCTTCATCAGCGAGGTGAGGAGGGGGAGCAGTCAGCAGCTGAAGTCCGGGACCAAGTTCACGCGGTGGAACGGCGGCGGCCGGGCCCTGGGAGACAGAGCCAGGGGGAGGGGGTGGGGGGAAGGGTGGTCAGTGCTGCACCAAGTGTGATCAGGCTGGGCACTGGCAGCGGGACTGCCCTGACCCTCAGAAGGAGCGGGGCACCCCCAAGGGCTCGGAGAGGGCCAAGGGTCCTCGATGCTACCGGTGCGGGCAGCGGGGACACCTCAAGCGCGTCTGCCGGCAGCGGCCGGAAGCGGTGAGGGTGGTGGGCGAGCGGGGTGAGGTTGCCTACCCCGAGATGCTACACATCCAGACAGCCGGGCAGAGGGGTACCGCGCCACCGACGGCTGGTCTGCTGGTAAATGGCAAGCGGATGGATGTTGGCTGCAGATGCAGGGCGGAGAGGCCCAGGTGGAGGTGCAGCTTCGGGGTCTGGTGGCTGAACTGACCTTGCTGGTCGCTAACCTCCCGAAGGCGACCAACATCCTGGGCAGGGAGTGGATGAGGTGCCTGAACCTGTCCCCCGGGCTGGTGGGGAAGTGGCGTCGAGTGCAGTAGCCGCAAGCCCTCGGACGCCGCTGGAGCAAGTGCTGGCTGAGCACCAGGAGGAGACAGAGGAGCTGCGGGTGGCCGACACGCTGTCCAGGATGCCGGTGGAGGGTCCGGAGGACGCCCGAGAAGATGCGGAGGAAGAGGATGAGCCACGTAACGGCTGTGTGCTGTTCGTGGAGGACAGCGGACCGGCGCTGACAGCGCGAGACATCGCGGCTGGCACGCGCCGGGACCCGGTGCTGGCGAGGGTTCTGGCGGCCGCCAGATCCGGCTGGGAGGCAGTGGTCGACCCCGAGCTCGTCCCGCACAAGACGAAGGAGGAGGAGAAGCTGTCGACGGAGGCCGGCTGCGTCCTGTGGGGCGGCCGCGTGATCGTGCCGCGATCACTCCGCTCCCAGGTCAAGACGAAGCTGAACAAGGGTCGCCTCGGCCATGCGCGGATGAAGCAGCTGGCTAGGCGTTTCGTCTGGTGGCCGGGCCTGGACATGGAGCTGGAAACCCTGGCCATAGGCTGTGCGGCGTGCGCGGCTAAGCGAGCTGAGCCGCCTCACTCAGTCCGTCACCCCTGGAAGCCAGCTGGCGGACCCTGGCAACGGGTGCATGTGGACTTCGCCGGACCGATCTACGGCAGCAGCTACCTGGTGCTGGTGGACAGTCACACCAAGTGGCTGGAGGTGGTGGTGGCAATGAAGTCGACTATAGCTGGGCGGACGGTGGCTGTTCTACGGGACGTCTTCGCACGACTGGGCCTGCCGCTGCAGGTGGTAAGCGACAACGGCCCTCAGTTCGTCGGCGAGGAGTTCAGCACCTTCTTGGAAGCCAACGACATCCGGCACACCAGAGTCGCGCCGTACCATCCAGCCTCAAACAGGTTGGCGGAGCGGGCGGTCGGCACGTTCAAGAACGGCCTGAAGGCGGCGATGGAGGCGGGCAGCGCTGCTGAGCGAGCGCTGGCGACGTTCCTGCTGGCGTACCGCTCGTCGCCTCACGCCGTGACCGGGCGCACTCCAGCGGAGATGATGTGCGGCAGAGGCCTGCGGACCCGTCTCAATCCGCTCATCCCGAGTGCTGATGCCACTCTGCACGTGGCGTGGGAGCAGCAACAGCAGTCTGCAGGAGAACGAGTCCGCGAGTTCCGGATCGGCGGCCCGGTGTGGACGCGCGCCTACAGTGGAAGACAGAGGTGGATCCGGGGCCGCGTGGTCGCGCGGCCCGGACCTGTCTCGTACGAGGTCGACGTGGGACATGCAGTCTGGTCACTTCTCGTCGATCAGCTCTGGGCGGCGGGTGCTGAGGACCTAATGGTGACATTGCGCAGTCGTCGTCTTCTTTGTGGCTACAGAAGCGGGGGTGGCTTGATGCGATGATGTGTCATGATGGTGTTTGATGGTGCATGTGATGGTTTTGATGATGTGTGTGCCTGAGGATGGGAAACTGTATGCCGTGCTAGGTGCAGTCTCCTTTTTGGCCGTTTAAATCACTTGTAAAGCTTGTGAATATTGTTTTATTGTGTTTGTGGGAAGTCGTTTGGACGGAATGTGTTATGTCTGATTTAAACGGGACGCGTCTAAACTGTCGTCGTCTCGTGTTTGCTGAGATGTGTTCCGTCGATCTGAATACAATTGCATGGCGTGTTGAAGCTGACAATCTCGTCCATATCACCGTCCGTGATTTGTAGGTCCTGGAGTGTTTAGCCGGGATTCTTGTACGCGCACCACCGCACCTTTGCCATGAGAAGTCAATGACGTCCGGTACAGCGCACCATCTCATAGGCTAGGCCATTGAAATAGTGCAGCCGACGGGGCTCCAAGAAATGATAGGTGTCAGGTGACGTAGCGCGAGGCCTGTCTGCCCCAATTTGGATCCTACGCAGTGAGTATTCTCGTGGGATCATCCGGGATTCCGGTGTTACGTCGTTCTTCATACAAGTTACGACATGGAATGCACTAGAAGTACCTATGGGCATCTGTATAATGAACATGACTCAAGTTCTGTCGTTTTCAGAACGGATATCCAGGCACGTGTGCAGTGGCTAATAATTTCTAGTGGTCATAGATTCCCATCAGAGCTCCAGTTTCGCCAAACCTGTTGAAAGAAACGGTGAGCACAGGATTGGCGAGCCTGAGACACGGTAAACAGGGTGTTCGAATATACTAAATGAATGCAACTGAGTCTAAATCTAGGCCTAAATGCCCGTGTTCTCCATTGGTACATCACTTATTCGATCTCTCGTTATGTGTGTACCTTGCGTACATTTACAAGAGCACATTTAGGTTCTTATACACTCATGTTTTCCTGTGGTATCTAAGGACTGAGTGGCAAAAGAGAGTCAGGAATTGGGAATGAGTTTGAAAGTATTGCATCTTTTGTGATCATTCGAGGGGGCCTGCGTTCCGCGGGTTTTTTCTTAGCATCAGGTGCTATTTTGTATGGATCCTCGTCTTTGCGGTAGATTAAGGTGGAAGGGGGAAAAGGAGAAGGGGGCGGGGCGTAAGCCCGTGAGCTCAGCTGCGATTTGTCCGCGACCCGAGAGGTTGGGACCCTCAACGAGATGCCATCGTAAGCCTTGTGGTCATCTTATGATCATTGGAGGGCTCTGTTGACGCCCAAACGACTTACAAAAAGTACTGCATAGAAACAGTAGAATGAAGCAAGCATAATATATTTGGGGAAGTTTCGCTGCATTTTCATCATTTGCGTTCAATGTATGCTCGACAATGAAGGTTTTAGTGGCCTGGGCTTTGCTGCCCCAAAGCACAGCTGCAAAGCAAAGCACAGCAAACAAACTTGCCGCCAAGGTTGTTGTTGTTCTTGAAAGCTAGCTGTAGAGCTACAGAAAATATAAATGTGTATTCGAAATGATATTATGAATCGATTTCTCGTGGTCCCTGATATTTCGTAAGATAGAACATTTCCGCTAAAACATCGGCAGATGGGCCATTTTGATCAGCACTATTTTTAACACCCCTGACAGCAGTTGCTAGGATACGCATGAACGACGAAAAAAATGCGGCGCGGGCGTCAGAGGCGGTGGGTGCGCGCGGGGGTCATCATCGCAGCTTGAGAAATTGGTTGAGCGTTGTCGAGGCTTTCGAGATCGTGTTCCAACAAGTGATGGACCAAGGCATGGACCGAGACATTGGCATCGTGGACCGCCCCACAAAGCTCCTGCTGTGAAAGTTCCGCGCTGGACAAGCGAATTGCTCCGAAGGTAGTGATGACGCGCATCCATCTACACCTCAGATGGCTTAATCAGGCTGAGGCTGAGCGAGCCGCTGCCAGACGCGCAGCTAAACAGGTGCGACATCAGGTGGACAGCGCGAAGTGAACATCGTTGTGCTTATGTGAGCTCCGCCCCCCCCCCCCCCTCCCGCCCTGTTTATTTTGGGTCCTCGCCAAGCGTGCACAATGAAGTGTATGCTGGGCGCAAAAATTATCCGCCCGCCCCCATCCCTCCTGTTTCTTTGGGTCCTCGCCAAGTGTGCACAGTGAAATGTATGCTGGGCGCAAGAATCGTTTTAGTAAAATACGGCGAATTATGAGTCATACGTGTGTTCAATAACTTGGCTGCATGGCGTGACGGATATGATATTGATTAGCGCCACGCACCACGACCTTCGGAGGCTTCGTGGCACAGTTGAAGAAATGTGCAACGTCCACAATGTCCTATGTTCTACCAGGCAGCGTACCACTTCCGTCGTCTCAAACTGCCTCAATCGCACACCAGTGCAACCTAGCGCGTTATTATGTATAGTGCCTGGGCTCAACGCGGCAGGTCGGATGATGATCCTGGTGCCGCTCAGTTCTTCCTTTGGCAGTGGGTGCATCTTGCCCAGGTTCGCTAACCTGCATTTAAGCAGCTGTAGGCTGGCCAACTTCAATGCGTCGCCATAGACTCAATGTTTGGCATCCTCAGCAGATGGGAGTGCCATGGCAGATGGGCTCGTGGTTCCTAGGCCTATGTTCGCTGTTCTACAACAGGCGTGACAAAGATCCCTTTCATATTTCCTCATAGTACTTCTTGAAGTGCCCTGTGGTGATCACCAGATGCATTTGTTAGAAGGTGCACCGGTGTAGCAGAGGCGGAGGTAATGCAGCCGGCGCTGTGATGCCAGGTTGCGACTTTGTGACGTCACTGTAGTGGTGAACGAAAAGTGCCCGAAATATCCCCGGATGATCATACCTTATTACATGGCCTTGGGTGCGCGGGGCTGGTGCGCGAGAAAGGAGCAGTGCGTTCGGATTCTGGAAACTGCTGCTGGCCGCGCGCACGCGTGCCAGACGCCTTGAGGAAGCCTTCTCGCTTGTCCCCTAGCTCAGCACGTAAACACTGTAGGGTTTGATTGTTTAGTGTTGCTCGGTGAACTTCTGTTCAGTCAACCGTGTGTCACCATGTGGACGTGGCTGATACACATTGGAGCTATCGTCGCGGTCGTCACACCAGGTGAGCAGAGCACGGCACAGTCTCCATGGTTCACGCGGCGTCAGGCCAGCGACCAACACTGAGCCGTGGCCCACGGTTGGACGAAAATGATGACGCTTCTGAAAGAACTACATTTGAACGCTTCAAGACATTGCATCGTACGTTTAGAAGGTAGTCCGAGCGAATATTTCACATGTGGGTAATCTGGTGGTGGGACTGGAAAAGTCAAGGTAGAGTCTCTTTTTGAAACTGCAAAACTGCAACTTCATCTACTTCGTAAAAAACTGCAACTTATGCAACCGCAACTTCGGCCGCCGAAAACCTTGCTCCCGAGATTACGGGCGCGCAGGCTGAAACCTCTCGATGTGATTTGTTTCACAAGCTGTCTCAGTAGAACAATGAACGTTCTCAGGCAAACATGGGAGGACCTTGTTCATTTTTTTCAACTAATTTCGACCCACCGTTTTCAACACTAATAAGGCGCCTTACTTCTTTCCGGGCAATATGCCGCCTTGAGTAGAACAGTAGGGGCACATCATCGTCCTCGGTCAAGAGCTGAAGGCCACTCCATCCTACCGCGTCTCCCAGCTGACATTCGGACTGCGCTGGGTGGGATTCCCCGGCATCATATTGGCCCTCTCCCTGACGCGAGACGCCTCCTGACCCACGCAGTTGGCCCCGGGTCCGGTCCCGACCTCTCAATGACGCAACAAGGTTCTGGTCACCACGGGTGGTCCAATATTTGACACATAGACTTTAATTCGGCTGACCTGGCTCATGCTGGAGTTGGGTTGGAGAGCTGGAGGACCCACCATTCGGTACGGGAGCCCTGACGGGCACAGGGCCCTTCCATTGTCTCAATGTGAACACGCATCGTAAGTTATTATGTTCCTTACACTGTCAGAGGGCCCGACCGACGCAAGAGGCCCTCTGGCATTCAAGGCCCGTCCCCGTTCTTGTTCAGCAAATTCTCCCCTGGTCGACTGGAGGCGCCTTGTTAACACAGAATACCCTGCTAGGCACTGAAGGCCCCTGACCGATACAAGGGAAACAGGCCTCAGGGTTCACACTGGCAGCCAAGTGTTTGGTGTTGGTGGTCTCCAGTCGGCTTAGACGCCTGTATTAGTTTAGGGGGTCCTCAAACGGTGCAGGAGGCCTCATGGCTGACATTCCAGGTCACGATCCTACGTGCCGCGATGCTTTATGTGACGTGCAGCCAATGACAGGGAGCTGGCGCTGGGGTGCCGGCCCTGTGGGTGGGAGCCCCTGAATACGACCTCCGGCCGGCCTTTCGGGCCCTTCAGGCCCTCCAAACGCGCCCTTAATAGTAAGTCCCGAGGGGTCTCTTGGGACCTACGGTACGGTGCCCTGGGAACCCAAGGCACGTGCCCCTTGTGCCCCCCCCCCTCCCCCTGCCTGTGCTACTACGATCTTGCAACCCATTGAAGTACGAACGTGCCGACTTTCTTGTAGCCATTCAACGGATACGGTATTTTCCTTGATCGTGGCCATGGTTGTTCATGTAACTGTAATTACGTGGCCTGTGCACGAATCTTGGCATGGTCAGTTCCTTAAAGCTAGTCTGTTTGTCAAAGCTGGTTTGTGTTATCAGTGCTGGCCCCACCAAGTGTGCGGAACCTCGGGCTTTACCTTGAAAGGGGGACTGCTGAGACGCGGCCTCCGGTGACCACACGCCGCCTTGTCGTGCGATGCCAAACAAGCCAAAGGGGTCAAACTGTCGATCAACGGATGCCATCGTTACCGGCGTGCTTACCACGTGCTTCCCAAACGTGCTTCCCAATAGTTATTGTTTGGTTACGTCATCGTTATTATTTTGTATCTTCCACAACTTTGATTGAGGGCCAATTGACCGCCGGTATACCTGGAAATCTTGCTCACGAACACCAGATTTGAACGACTGGACAATAACAGTTTTCTTGGTCAGAACCGAGGCTAACCATTCCCCTGCGCGGCCGTTCAGTACCGAGGCCAACCACTCCTGCACGGCCGTTCGGTACCGAGGCTAACCATTCCTCTTGCACGGCCCCTCAGTACCGAGTCTAACCACTCCCCCTGTACGGCCCCTCAGTACCGAGTCTAACCACTCCCCCTGCACGGCCGCCCAGTACCGAGGCTAAACACTCCCCCTGCACGGCCGCTCAGTACTGAGGCTAACCCACCCCCCCCCCCCCTGCACGGCCGCCCAGTACCGAGGCTAACCACTCCCCCTGCACGGCCGCTCAGTACCGAGGCTAACCCCCCCCCCCCCCCCTCTGCACGGCCGCCCAGTACCGAGGCTAACCACTCCCCCTGCACGGCCGCTCAGTACCGAGGCTAACCACCCCGGCCAACGGCCAGTCAGGCTCGTCACTGGCTCTCCGGGCTGAGAACGTTGGAATGTTGCCAGCACTTCTAGATCCCTGTAAGCGATGCTGTCAGGATGTGCTCCTGGCATTGTACGGCCTTATATTCTGCACAGGAGCCAGTGATTCAGGTGGCTGTTGGCTTGCACAGCTGCTATTCGCCGCTCTCTGCCGGCGTAATTCTCAACCCGTGACATCACCCACTAATCGGCTATAAAGTGGGTACAGAAGCTGTTTTGTTGTGCAAATATGCAGCTTTGGTGTCATTTTCTCCTTTGATATATTTGCATCAGCAAACGATCTGTTGGCACTAGCTGGGGAATCAGCGTGGGCCGTATGGTTTTTGTAGTAACCTCTGTTGAGACCGAACGTGTGCTGCGCCACCGCTGTGCAATCGCGACTGAGTTGGCGCGTTTTCGCGCCGTCCGGGTAGGCAATTGAAACCTGAGCTGACGCGGGTATCAGCAGGCGCTGATTTGCTGTGACAACCGCAAACGGAGGGGTCCTTTCCCCGCCAACCCGCGTATGATTCATTGCGACTTGGGTCTGGAACTGAAAATGGCCTCACTTACGTATTTGCGGTGTTACTGTCGCGGCCGCGGAGGCTGACCGGGCGCGATCGAGCTGGAGTCTGGCGCTATTCGGCCGGACCGTTGAACAGCCGCAATTGACTCACAGTTTGACCAGTAATCAGGGGCATTGTGTCGCCACCGGTTTATGATAGCAAGGATTCGGATAGTCCTGGTGCTGCCGGGAGAAGGGGGGGGGGGGGGGCGGGCCGGCCGGCCGGCTGAACACAACGGGACGCAGCGGTGCGCCGCGTCCCGTTGCGTCTCTGGACGGAACAGGACGGGGCAGTTACTGGAGCTGTTCCCGCTGTCGGGCGGAACAGCTCCAGTATCACTCGCCGCCGGACAGGGCAGGGCAGTCCCGCTGCCCGACAGCACCACACCGTCACCAGTGTCCTGTCCGCCAGTATCCAGTGGCTGCTGGGGACAGGCTTACCATGGGGACACTGTTGGCTACGTGTTCGATATTCGTTCCGTATCAGGTGTCCGTTCAGAGGAGGGTGTGCAATGTTACTACAGCATGAACGCGGATCCCCGGCCAGAGCAATGCTCCTACAGCTTTGATGCAGATCCTCGATCACACATCGCCGTGGTCCGAAATTTTACGTGACGACTGAAGGACGTATGACGGTAAATTCATAGTTGTTCTTTACGGCGCTCATCGCAGTTGTACGGAGTTGCGCAGGAGCAGGCGCGCAGCCAGGGCTGTGGTTGGGGAGGCCTCTGAGCAGGGACACAGATGTGCTAGCACAGGAGAGCGTTTTGTGCCGGTGTCGTGAAGGGCTCTCTCCCGTTGTTGCAGCTGCTGACGGCCTACAGCTGTATAAGGTGCGCATCCCGACCCACGTCAAGCACGGCGAAGACGTGAACCTGGCCTGCCTGTACGACCTGGAGGGCAAGGACCTCTACGCCATCAAGTGGTACAAGGACGGAAAGGAGTTTTATAGATATGAGCCAGCCACGGGACGGCCCAAGAAGAGCTTCCCGCAGCCGGGCATCAAGGTCAATGTGAGTAACTGGCTGTCAGCTGGGCTTCTCTGAGATGTAGCTGCCATGATATGCCATCCTTCAAAGGCTTTCATTTGTCGAAGGCAGGAATTGTAGACAGCCATTAGGCGTAATCCGTATGACATTGGGCACGGCAGTTTTCAATCGAGTGAAAATTGCTAAAAGTGTGCTTGCCGTTGGGCCTGACGCAGACCGGTTGTCGTGCCTTGCTGGACACCTATAGGATGAATATTGGAAAAGGTCGGACAAGAACAGATCAGCGTCAGAGTAATATCCTTGAGAGCCGAAATCTGGACGACGGCCACTACGAAACAAAAACAGCTGTTCCAAGCTTTTAAAGATGTTGGATCTATCGTAAGCTTTCCAAGACGGTACCAACATGGAGATCGTTCGTTCGTCAGAAAGCAGAGAACGTGAATCATGAGATGTCGCGCCTTAACACACACGTCCTTGATTTACGGCCATCACGTTGCGAGAGAAGTGGTTCATATTGATCCGTCAACAGCTGCGCCCGGCTGACAGATCCTCGGTCGGTGACAGCCGTCGTGTTAACACCTTCGCCGATGTGTCATCCAGATGTCATCGAACCTGTCACAAACTCGGCTCGACGCATGCTAATGATGCCGGGGCTGTCAGCCGCGCGGCCCGTGATCCCAAACATAACACCACTCTGCGCTGTCTGTCTCACGTGAATTGACTCTGCCCTCACAACTCTTTCTTTATGTTAGAATGGTTAGAGAGGAAGCCAATTTGGTGTAAAATGTGCAATCCATGGAGGCCATCGGAAGCCATAAGCAGAAGCAAAACGCGTCATTGAAATAGCCGGCAAGTTTTCCTCCAGGAACGTTTTTAGTTTGTCCTCGTGTACTTATTCGTCATTTCATGTGCGCAATGCTTAATGACTTTTCCCCAACGGCCTAAATTCGCTACCGTAAAGTGGGTGATAGGCACACTTATGATGGCGAACAATGAATGCTTATGCAGAAAGTTTTGCCATTTTGTCAGTTTGCCAAACCTAACGACACTTCATGTACTTCGCTCCTGTTTATTCTGCTGTTTGCGCATTATCTTGTTCCATAGAAGGTCTGCGTCTCAAAACGCCAGCGCGTAAGGGCTACGAAATCTCCAGGATCGCTGCCAGGGTTGTATTTCGGTGGCCGAGCCCGGCGGCCGCGGTGGGTGTCGCATGCCGGGGTGGCGGTCGTTCACGCCGCGACTGTCGTTCGCCGCAGCTGGCCGCCTCGAACGAGACGCACGTGCGGCTGCAGCAGACGACTCTGCGCTACTCGGGCCACTACATGTGCGAAATCTCCGCCGAGGCGCCCGACTTCGCCTCCGAGCAGGGCAACGGACGGGTGCACGTCGTAGGTGAGATTCCAAGTGTGTGGGAGTGGGTAGGGGCGTGTGGGTAATGGGGACGACGCGGGGGTCGGCGTAAGGGGGGGGGGGGGGTGAAAACAGCGCCTGCCGTCGCTTGCCATGTCGTGCAGCTCACTAAAACATTGACGTCACTTACATGACATCAGCGCGTGCATGGTCACCGCTTCGTCATGCAATAGCTTCCGTTAACACTGGGGCCATGCATTATTGCATGTCTTGCATGTTAAAAAAACAGGACGAAAGAAACGCGTAGTTTGCGCCTTATAAGAATGTGGGGCCAGGAGGAAAGCGAGGAAATACATCCAGTGCGGGTTGGCAGTGTTCTGTGTCGCGCCGAACGCTTCAGCAGGTCTGGGATAACAGGCGCCTTTGTTGCCGAGTACAGTGGACCGGAGACGAGCCGGGTGTTCCAGACTTCCCTGGACCCACCACGGGCGACGGACGGTTCGGGGTAACAGATCCGGAGCCTGTCCACCAGCACTTGCCAGCACAGCATTACTGCTGCCGGGTGTCGCCGGCCCAGCCGTGTCTGGTGTGGGCCGACCCCGGCCACGGCAGCGTGACTCTGCGGGGGGAAGGGGTGGCAGCGTGACTCTGCGGGGGGGGCGGCAGCGGGACTCTGCGGGGGGGGGGGGCGGCAGCGTGACTGCGGGGGAGGGGGTAGCGCAAGGGGGCGTCGTGACCTATCTCGGCCGGGGGTCGGACGGGCGGTGTCCGGCCGCGTCGCTGCGGCCGCCGGCGGCTCCCTCCGACGTCACGTACGCACTCCTGATTGGACTGAGCTGGCGACGCGTCAACACCAGCAGCTTCAGATTTGTTTCACATTGATCGTAATCAGACTAGTTGGGCGCCATCCGTCTTCAGCGGATCAGCAGGCCGTCTGCTCCGCACTGGGCCGGCCTGCCAGAGTCGAGGAGAGCGCGCGGCGCGAGACCCGCCTGTCTTCGGGCCGTTCATCTAGCGTGTTCTTGCCCCGCACGCCGGTCTTACAGGCTTAAACGCAAAGCGATGAGTCGCTGCTGGCCATCAGCCCGCGGGTGTAGTGGAGCTAGCTTTGGAACTCCCTTAATTATTCTCGACTAGATTGATGATAAGGTTTGGAACAAGCAAATTGTGCAAACCAGGAATATCCCGTATTGCTATATCATGTGAGCCGAAACACGCATGCTAACATGTCGACAAGATGTGTATCGACATGCGATGACAGGCACTTTGCGAACGCCTAATGCAGCGCGGGGTGGATGGTGGTAGGATGTGAGAACCTGAATGATTGAATGTTCTAGTGTATTTTTGTTGGCAAAGCCTGCGCATACTCAAAACGCCTGCTGTCTTTTAAGAGCCGCAGGTTCTTGAATTGAATGTCTTACGTTGCGCTGTTCAGCCGTTGCCGTGGTCACCGTCCAAAAACACCGAGCATATCTCTAACAGGTCTTAACGATCCCTTGCTATATTCACTCCACCGGTTTGTTGAAGCCTGGTATCTGATTTAGTCGGCGTGCTGAAAGCCTGGCGTCTGATTTAGTCGACGTGCTGAAAGCCTGGTATCTGATTTAGTGGGCGTGCTGAAAGCCGGTGATTTGCCCTACTGTAACTCATTCTCGCTTTTTTGTATATTTCGCGTTGTTTGATGCAGATTGTTGGCGAGTTTTAACAAGATTGTTACTTGTAATCGAAGATCATGCCAGTTTTCTGTTTTTTCCCGAAATGGAAGCTCAGTCAGCAAAATACTGCACCCCGTGAGATGAACAGCCGTGGCACCCGCCGCAGCTCGTGGCTACGGTGACTCATCCCGCCCCCCGCTCCAGCAACTAGGTCACATAGGTCACAACTAGGTCACCTGGAGGTTGCGCTGAGCGGACCGATGACGTACGTAGCGTCGCTATCGTCCTACGTTTCCCGGATCCCCCGTCCCGGTGACGGGGCGGCCGAGGGCGATCTGTGTCGGCGTGGCTGCATAGGCTGCACACACCGGGAAGCGAAGCAGTCGAGAACACTAGCCGTGGCGGTGACCTGGTCGGGTGTCAGTGTTTCGCCGTCCCCCCCCCCCCCCGTGGGCTGGGTGGCGTAGGATTGGCTGCAGCACGGGCCGGGTGTTAGCTCCGGTGCTGATGACAACATTTTTCAGAGATTCGCCTTGCACCTACGCCTGATTTAAGTGAGTCGGCAAGCCGTTCGGATGCCGGCCATGAGATGTCTGCCGCCTTCTGTGCGGGCTTCTGTTCAGCCGGGAGAGCTGTCCGTGACGCCTAGGGTCGCTGGTTTGTCGGCGGTGTCAGCGGTCTCCCTGTGCGGTGCGTTGTCCGCAGTCCGACACGCGCCGAGTTAATGTAACCTCGGTGGGCGGAATATGACACCATTAACATACAGCCACAGACACCGATGTACATACGTAATGGAGCGTGTTCGACGAAGATAACGCCCGCTGAAACAGCCGGACGGATGAGTTCCATGTGCAGTGAGGATTATGTCGGCAGCATAAGTGAATTCGTCATGATATGTAGCCAGCCAATTGGGACCGCTCGACCAAAGCATGGCGGGTGTTGCGTGTCAGAAGAACATCATGAAAGGCGTGGAAGACGCCACATCTAAGGTAATGTGCCGAAGCGCGCGATCCGCGCCGTTCTCAGTGCATGCCTGTCGTGCAAGGCCTCCGCTGGTTCATCGTGGCGTATGTCCGTCCAGTTAGCGCGGCTGTTGTAATCTTCCGTGGTCCGTTTGTCTAACCCTTTGTTGTTGGTTTCAGCATGGTCCACGATAAATTGCTAAATTTCGACTTCATTTGGCCTGCATTGGCATGATAACAGCATACATATCATGATCTCTGACGTGGATCCTGCCTACGCCGCTCAAGCCGGGCTGGCTGAAGTGCCGAGCCGCAGAGGGCCGCTGTGCGCCAGCTGGCCGCTGGGAGCGGGCCGGCGTTGTGTGGCGGTCTAACCGGAATTGTGTGGCGGTCTAACCGGCGTTGTGTGGCGGTCTAACCGGCGTTGTGTGACAGTCTAACCGGAGTTGTGTGGCGGTATAACCGGTGTTGTGTGGCGGTCTGACCGACGCCGTGTGGCGGTCATCGGCGCTGACCGGGCTGCCCCGCCTGCAGTGTTCCCGGCCGCCGGCCCGGCCATCACCGGCGGCAAGACCCGCTACCAGGTGGGCGACCGGGTCAAGGTCAACTGCACCTCACACAGAAGCATTCCTGCCGCCAATCTGACCTGGTTCATCAACAGCGAGGAGGTGAGCGGCAGCCGACAGCCGGCGCCGGGGCCAGATGTCCCTGCCGGCTTGCCTCATCCGTGTGTGTGTGGATGTGACAGCCGGGCTATTCGTACATTCCGCTGGTGACTACAACGCTCTTCGTCGTGCAAGATCGATAGGAAGACGGGGTTGTAATCGAGGGAGACAGAGACATGTGAGAGAGGGATCCAGCGGTTTTGGATACATTGCTTATGGCCTTCGGGGGGGGGGGGGGGGAGGGGGGATCTCACGGCCGATGGGTGTTGACTACCGCTCCGCCGTAGCTTAGTCGGCTTTTGACACGGGGCCGCCGTCAGGACGGCCCATAAACACGCGCTCCAGCGCGAGCGTCAGCTGCTCCTGTCATTGGCAGCGAATGGTGAGACGCTGGGGTACTCTGCCGGCGGATGTATGCTCAACTGGGTACTCTGGGTACTTCGTGCTGGGTATTTTCTCGACGCATGCATTGCGCATACAGCAGCGTCTAGATCCAGCGGGCGTACTGGCAACTTGTTGGCATTCTATTCAATTAGCTACACGAGGTGCAGCGCGCTGACGTGCCTCCTTTTTCGAAGCTTCTCACAAGAACACTGGCAAAGATTTCGAGGCGCGTAGCCTCCCGTTCTGAAAATGCGACCGAGAACTTGGTCGGCGAGTGGTGTGGGCCAGCTGTTGCGCGCGACTGGATCTGCGCCTTCCATCGTGTGTGACGCGCCACCAGTCATCCCGCGGGAGCGGCGCCCGTCGCACTGCTCCGTTGTCTCCGTCGCAAAGATGCTCCACGCGGCACGTGCGGACAGTGTTGTGACAGACAGCGACGCTTGCTGGCGGGGACTATCTCCGCATCCTACACGTCTGATATAAAATGACAAGTGACTGCTTCCCAGCGGCAAATGAAAGCTTACAAAGGCAAAGAAAAGAAGTGCACAAGCTGGTTTATGTGTTGTCTTTTTGTACCATCTAAGGTGTGTTGTTTTCAAGATTGCACGCATCACAGTCAGGCTAGCTTATGACTTAAATTTCCTTCAAAATGAGCGACTGCCCGGTCTTATTTGAGGTACTTATCCCCCTGATGTGTGGAGCCGTGGTCCCCTAGTCTGACGTGCTGGGCCACGCGTGCTCCGCTGAGCTGTCACTGACCGGTCGGCCGCTACCGTGCTATTGAAGAGTGCTCCGCTGTCTCTGTGGGCCCGCCTCTCCTCCTCCTCCTCCTCCCCCCCCCGCCGCTTCCTGGAGAGGCGGGGGGGGGGGGGAGGAGGATGGATGCCTGCCGTCGGACATCGCTCTGAGCCACTTCACCTCCCCTTGTCCTCCCTCCCCTTCCCCTACGTCCTGGAGAGGCAGCCGTGCCTGCCGTCGGACGTCGCTCTGAGCCACCTCTCCTCCCCTTGTCCCCCCCCCCCCCCCTACGTCCTGGAGACAATCGGGCGTCGTTTTGATCCGTGCTCGTCTGTCGTCCAGGCGGCGCTGGAGCACCTGAAGCTGTGGCCGCTCACCATCCACAAGGGCGGTTTTGAGTCGGTGACGGCCGGCCTCCACTTCCGGGTGCGGCCACACCACTTCCAGTGCGGCACCATGAAGCTCAAGTGCACGGCACAGATCGACCTGGTGCAGCCGCCGTACTGGCAGAGTCGCGAGGCCAGCGCCGTCGGCGACCGGCCGCCAGAGGTGTCGCATGTGCTCGACAGCACCACCACCAACCGGAAAAGTAAGACTTCCGGCCGCCTCCACGCCCACCGCCGCCGGTGTTCTGTGACGCCCGGCGCCTTCCGCTGTTTGTGGCCGGCAGGCAAAATTGGATCCTGCTGGTGATCCCAGACATTGATGATCAATGAAGTGCGGTAATGGTAGTCCCTCGTCGAGACTGTTACCATGCCCGTGCAGTCCGGTTTGTCCAATAGCGTCACACTAGCCCCACCAAACAGTCGCACGCCGCAAAAACCGTGCTGTGCCCCATCCACGCCAGGGGTGCCTCCTCGCTGACGGCAGGCATGGGTCAGGGGAAGGACCTTGTCGTCGGCAGGTGGCCGGCAACGCTCGGTGTACCGCACAGGCTCCACGGCGTCTCCCCCGCTCCGAGCATCTTGTCACCGGGACGTCTCCCTCCCGCCCACCTCCCGCCAGATCGACAGCCAGGGGCCGCGGCGAAACCGCTGAATTATGAGTTATCCTCACAATTCGGCTTTCATGGCTTCTCAAAGGAGGTCGTTTTTCTCACGGCACGGCTGCGTATTGCCAATAAAGCGGCCGTCCCATTCGAAGGTTGACACAAGGTCGTGTGCCGCCTGTCAACAGCTGTGCCCCTCGCCGACGAGACGTGGCCGGCGTTTTTGCCGCCGTGAAAACAGCGACAAAAACAATAGTCCACAGAGGGCGCCGGCGACGCACGCCAGGCGCTCGTAGCCGCCACACATTTCAATCTGCCGGAGTCACCGCCCGGCGCTCTGTATTCATACTCGCTGATGGTGTTGCGGAGGCAGTGCGTCGAGGACGGCTCATCCAGCGCTGACCGAAAAACTGTCTCAAGAGACGCGGTGCACTGCGTGGAACCGTGTACCGGGCGCCCGGCTCGGCCGCCGTCATTGTGGCGCGAGCAGGGCTTCAGCGTCGAAAATGGCCGCAGCGGGTCGCGAGCCGGCTTGGGCAGACGAGCGTTCCACTTATGTGCAGAGGAGCTGGGGATGCTTCGGTGGTCACAGACACGGCGTGCCGTCTTTGTCGAGCGCGCTACTCGCACCAGCCGGCGTAGGCGGGCATCGGCCACAGCGTACAGGTTATACTTCACAGGTCACCGTCGCACGTGAATGAATGAGCCTAATGCGTGTGTATGACGCTGAGGAGGGTTTTGCTTGCCTCAGTTGTAGCCAGGACGCTGAATTGATCCTCCGCGCGTGCGGGTCAGCTTCGGTTGGCCCGGATCTGCAGCGGCTGATGGCAGCTGGCGATGTCGTGGTCGCATGACTGCCAAGGTTTCGCCCTGGTTTTCGGCGGACGTCGACAGATACAGAACCATTGCACTCTGTCCACGATATGTGTTCTGCAGACTGACTATGTTGGGAGGCATCCAGGATGAATATCACTTGCCCGCATGACAGGAAATCAGGCATCGGTCCGCGTTTCTTCGCCTAGCGAGCTTGCATAATTCTAGTGCTCGCATTTATTTGTCTAAGATTCTTAATTACAGCAAACGCACCACGCCAACCGTTCAGCGAAATATTTTCACGTGTGGTTCGAACTGTTGCATTATAGCCAAGGCCGTTTGTGGAGTGATTTTGTCGGCGTCTCTTCTTTCTCTTCGATCGTGCGCTCACACCACTGTCGGATGTGTGCGAACGGCTCGTATCACCAGATTAGCGCCAGATAATCGCCATCATCTGTCGGCATTGTCGGCGCATATTGCCATCGTTCGTGCCACGCGCCCTGTCGTCGGCGCTACTGCCGCCAGTAAGCGCGTGCTCCGTCGCCGCTAGACCCGTGTGCCCCCGGAAGGAGCCGCCGCCGACCGGCCTGCCCGCTGCCACCTGCCACTGCATGCGGCGCCCCCTTCATAGCTGCGTTGATTGCCGGAACTCTGAGCGAATTTTCGGCGTGGTTTTTAGATGGCGAGACGCAAAACGCTTCTCGGTTCAATTTCGGCTTAGCTGGGCCGCATTTTGCTGGGAACGGCGTCTCTAGGGGGACATTTAGCTGAAGTGCGTGTCGCTGCCGGGTATCACCTGTCACTTGTCTTCGAGTCCCAGTGCGCATTGGTGTCATTGGACACATCGAGGGCATTCGAGCTGATGTGGTCTGAGAAATTGTGGTGCAGAAAGCCATCGGAACAGCCAAAGCTCGGGTCCATGGGGAATAGTGCGTGCTCTGTCATTGAGATACTATACCATTGATTTCGATGCACGTTGGTGAAGCGGTGTGATTGTTACGAGCTATGTTGTGATCACAAACGTAACAGCAATGACGCCCAGCACCTTCGGCATTTAGATGTTATCATCATAACAATGAAAACATGTTTTATGTTATTCTGTCCCCCGAACGTCCTGGGCGTGCTGGACGTCACCCGTCACGGCTGCCGGGCCGATCACGGCCTCCCCGTCACAGGCTCGGACCGCCCGCTTTGCCACAAGATCGCCAACTGGGTGATCCTGGTGGTGAGCGTGATCCTGTCCCGATGAGGCGCCGCCGCCAATGCAGTCCGACGGACGGGCGACGGGCAGCGCGCCGCCGCCGCCGAACGCGGACGTGGGCGAGCCGGGCAGGAGCCAGGCGGGACGGGCCGACCGCAGTCACGCCGCCCCACGTCCGGAGCAGTCGCCGCGCCCCGTCCACCGTCCGCAGACGCTGGTTGATGTTCGAGCCTGTGCTGAAGCCTCGGCGCGGGCCAGCTCGTTGTTGGTGGCCCGTGCGGCGCTGGCGCTGGTGGAGATGCTGCTGCAGCTGGTTGGCACGCGTCCGGTGTCCCGAGGCCAGCGCGCATCGGCGCCGCAGAGAGGCCGTGTCCCTCCCCCGTATCAATGTGATAAGACTAGTCTATGGTCAGAGAGCAAAGGCAGTCGTCGGCCAGGCCGGAACGATGGCTGATATAGCTGTTTGATGACTCTGTCATTTATTTGGTAGGCACTGTTTCTGGATGCTGCGCATGAGAATGTTGAGCGTAGCCAGCTTAATCCAACATCGCATTTTGTTTATCATTCAGGAGGTCTGTATGAGTTAGCACAAGTTGGCTGAGAACATTTTCTCGCCGGAAAGTTCACTTGTTTTTTTCAGAATCGCGCTGTTTGTGTGCTTCAGATGCAGAGCTCGTTCGGAATGGCGCTTCACGCATCCCGTACTCGTGTAGAAGGTCTACATGGCACTGGCTCAATCGGCACAATGAGTTGACGTGTTCATCTTTTATTTCGCAAGATGTCGAATGCAGCTCAGAGTCACTATGTGGTTCGATCCGTATGCTCCGCGAATGGCTCACTTTGTTCCTTTGCGTGCGCCAAATGCCTTCCTGCACAAGACTCCAAGTTCAAGAACGAGATGTGAAAATTTCCAGGCGCCAACCGTGCTTCGTTAACATCCCCACATCTGTGCGACCGGACTAACTCGCGCAGATCACCGCAGTCGGGAGTCGGTTAGAGCACACCGACAGCGCGCGCAGTCGCGCATCGGAGCACGGTGCTCCCTGGAGCGCCGTGCTTCGGGGCAGCGGCCTGTGCGGCCGCGGCGGGCGCGGCCGAGCGCGGAGGGGTGCGCTCGTCACGGCCGCGGCGCCGAGCCAGCCGGCTGATCCTCACACCGCCGCCCGCGAGCCGACCGCGCTCGCAAAACTCGTTCTCCAAAGTACATCTCCACATTTCATACGCTGGCCTCGATTTACTGCAGGATGGACGTCTTGCGAGGTTGCGGTCTGGGAGAGGAGTTCACGCACGCTTTGCCGGGCCGCGGGTACCCCTGCTGGAGCGACTGGTGGCATGGCTTGTGGTGCAGACATGTGCTCGCGTTGTATTCCGCACTATTCGTTTTTGACATTGGCACTCGGTGTGTGGCGTCGCCGCTTAATACCGTGTCCGTTGAGCGATGTCGCTAAGTGATGACATTTAAATAATCAGGTGAGAGAAACACCGCCAGCAAACTCGTGGCGCTCCGTTCGAGTTGTTGCAGTGTGTCTTGCACTGCCCGCTGGATCACGCCAATCAGTCAGAAATACATTCCTTAGTTCCAACCAACGCGTTTCTCAAAAGACGACGTCTTCTTGAAAAATACAATGTATGTCTGTGTAGAACATGCTATTACAAAACTGATCGGGTGTGGGCGGCCGACGGGCCGGGGAGCGGGGGCAGGGCGGCCGGCGCCGGCGCTGGCGCGGGCGTCCGCTCGCAGCCGGACGCGCGGCGCCCGACCACACGGGCCGCACGAGCGGCCCCCGGCACGCAGGGCCTGGCGGCGCCGCCACCGTCGCCCGTGACGCCAGCCGCCGACACGTCACGAGGAGACGAACACCATGTGCAAATAAAATCCCTTCGAACCGTCTCGCCGACAAAATGCAGCGCACAGATAATCTAAAACGCAGAAGAAAGATCAGGACCGTGCTCCGGCTGTCGACTCGGCAGCGGAGCCCGGGACGCGGTTAGCGAACATGCATCAGGCGGGCGTCACTGGTATGTGCAGCAGTGCACGCCGCCACCACATCCTACCACTGTTTGGCGCACCGCACCGCGGCGCGGCACGTTACCTCTCGTTATGCCACGGGCGTATGTACAGCGGCCTTGTGTACAGCACCTTGTGCGCATGGCCGAGCCCGGCCGCCCGCCGTATCACTCACGTATGGCGGTCGCGGCAGGGAAATGTGGGCCCTTGGCGGCGGTGCTGCTGCAGTCGGCCGCGCGCCCTGATATGTCGGCACCGTCCGCAGGCGCCCGGCCGGCAGGCTCGCTCGCTCAATCGTCGCGGCGGCCCACGCTCGACGTGGTCCAAGCGCGGTGAGGTACTCGGGCACCGCTCGGTACACGAACGCCGTCGGTACATGCTGATCCTGCGGGGCGGGGCCAGTTCAGTGCTGATCCTGCGGGGCGGGACCAGTCCAGTGCTGATCCTGCGGGGCGGGACCAGTCCAGTGCTGATCCTGCGGGCGGGACAGTCCAGCGGCTGATCCTGCGGAGCGGGACCAGTCCAGTGCTGATCCTGCGGGGCGGGGCGCGCCGTTGCACCTGCTATGGAACCACACGACGGGCAACAAGTGACAATGCGTCCAAGTGACAGCGCGTCCACGCATGTGGTTCACCGACGGATAGTCAGAACTCCTCTCAGCCGCCGAGGCCCGGTCCGTAACCCCGGACGCACCGAGGGACCGGTATCCACGGCTCCAGCGTGCTGATTGCGGTTCAGCTTCAGGTGCAGTAGTCAGAGCATACGTCTGTTGCCTCTCTGTTCTACCGCCGCAGTCAGCGCGTTTTATGTTCACTGTTTTGCCCGGCTCAGGTGTATCGGGTCATTCTGCTATGGACCTACTGGTGCATCTATATATACTTATACTTGCACTATTGTGATGACGTGATAAACACGGCTTTAGGGAACCAGGTGTGATCAGCACCGGAACCACAGTCAAAGATACGCTCAGAAATATACGGACGCAAGGCACGGGGCGCTCACTGCGCGTGACGTATGAAGGCAAGTCTGGAGCCGGCACCACGCCTGACCGGAGCCGGGACGGCCCGGCCGGCCGGAGACGGAGCCGCCGCCGCTCGGCGCGCGCCGCACGCACCTGGAACTCGAGCTCCATGCCGGTGATGTTGTCGCCGGGTCCGGTCGGCGGAAGCAGCTGCGATGTGAAGGCCTGCAGGTTGCGTGCCGGTACCTCCGTGTTGCCGGCCACCAGCGACTCCAGCAGCGCGTCGTGGATGAAAATGTACTGGCGGCAGGGCCGTGGCTGACGTCAGCGGGGGGCCGGCCGAGCCGGCGCCCAGCACAGCACGTGACAGCCTGCACCAGCATCAGCATCAGGACAGACCTGGGTTGGCGAGCAGACCAGCCGGGGAAGATGCTGGTGACGCAGTTCGAACGGAACTTTCGCTGGGCAGCCAACCGCTGGCATGACCCACCACCACATCGGAACACGGCCAACACATTCCAGACGAAGAGTTCCGCGTTAACCTAGGAGTTCTGCCACACCCGCAGTGTCCGTCTCAGAGCGCCGCACTCTGAGACGGAGCGCGGCCGTGTCCTCAGCCGGCGCGCACCTGGTCCTCGGTCTGCACCATGTAGTTGCGCTGGGCTCGCAGGCAAGTCACGTGACCGTAGACGTCAACCGTGGCCTCGGAGCGGATGCGCTCCAGCATGCTGTCGATGGCGATGAAGCACCTGCCGTCCGGAGGCGGCCGTCAGCGCCGTGACTCCTGCGTGGACGCGCGCGTCGCCGCACACTGTCGCCCGACAAGCGGCGGCGGCGCGTCGCTGAACCCCAGACTTGCGAGCGCCGCCACTCCCCGCCAACGACTTGTGAATAAGATGTCACGGCTAACATAAGGGCAGCCCTACAAGCAACACGGCCCGCAACGCGACCCGAGCCTCTGCCGGAGCGATGAGGCCCACCGTGGCCGGCTTGGCGCCGTCGCGGGGCTGCCGGTGGCTCAGCGGGCCGCCCACTGACCCGGTGCGGCCCACACCGGCCGAGCAGTGCGTCACCATCGGCCCGGCGTCGGCCGGGTTCAGCGCCTTGACGTGGTGCAGGAACCGCAGGAACGGCGTCGGGTGGTCGGGCACGCCGTGGTCGGGCCATGCCGTGAACTGGAACTGGCGCACCTCGCGCCGCTCCAGCGAGTCGGCCTGCCGATCACGCCAGTTACACGCGAGCTCACGCGGTGTCAGTCACACGCGGGTTCAGCCAGCAGCAGGGACAGCGTAAACAGGGTCCGCGTGCCGGGCCTGATGCGGACACGGTCA